CCCCAAAACCCCAAAACCCCAAAACCCCAAAACCCCTAAGCTTATATAGAACATTGACAAGATATTATTATTTAAAAATATTATCCAAATATGTCATACAGACTTGCAACATGAATGCTAATCCTTCTCTTCGAAATGTCAATGGGATCCGATTTTAGTAGGAACCTGCTGTCTAGTTCTTCCTCAACTTGCAGAAACTGCCTTTATTACATCTCACAGAAGTGGTGCATCTCCAGATACAGCAGCTCGAATCAAGGAGAATGATGCTCCACAACTGACTATTCAGGCTACTGCTACGGTCAAGGTAGCTATGTTTGCTCTAACGATGATGATATTGAAGGAACTCCTGGAACCAACAATAATGGTGGATACATCATGTGCCCATCATACAGCTCAGATTGTGGAACTTTAAGTAGATCTTTTTATTACCATGGCCAAAGCTCTACTTTTGAAAAAGATTACATTCCTTCAAGCGTTGTCTGTGTGTATCAGGTCACTTCGTCATCAGCATATGCTGATAGTCTCAAAATTGAAGTTAGTAAGATTATTAATCTACCTTCCTCACAAAATTTAGAGAATGCAACAGGAGTTGATATCAACGTGTACACTAGCTCGAGCAGTTACAACTATGACAAGGAAGGTTCCATGTACTGGAACGATACCAAGACAGTCTCTCTATCTACCAGCACTGATGTCTACATAATGGTCCACCCAACCTCTTCATCCAACGGTGTTGAAATCGATGTTGAATTAGTGGAGCCACACAGGTAATTTGGATGAATAATTCCGTAGCGAAATAGCAGCAGTGGCCCTAGTGTTTATTATCATCGGCAGCATTTGCTGCTTTGTGGCTATTGTGGTCTGCATTGTCTTTGGCGTTATATATTGTGTTGCTAAAGGAGCTCAAGCTTCCATTAACAACCAAGGAAGGGCCAACAACATGGCTGCAGCAGCAGCACTAACGACATCCCTCCTCCAATCCTCCAAAACCCTCCCCCTGCTCCAAACCAGCCAGCCTACATGATGAGTAAGTCCAAGCGAGACTTCAAGCAAAAGGCTAATAACCTTTTAAAATTCAGAGTGATTCTCTATTGATCAAATTTTTTATTGTCAAGTCTCGGAACTGAACATTTCGGTCATTCAGAATTCATAAGTTGACAAGGAAGATTTTCATGAGTGGAAATTTTAGGAATTCACTATTTTTTTTGCTGAAATTTAGACAATTTTTAGAGCCAGGTTTGATGGGGAAAGATAGTCTTTGGTGTTTTAATAGAAGTTTGATTACTCAAAGTGTCAGGCTTCGCATTGCTTAGCTAGGAAGTTAATATTTTATATGGGCTAGAAGCTTAGAAAGGTAAAGATCAGCTTTTTCAAGAATCAATAGTCATATTATTAATTTCATGAACATTATTGAGCAATAGAAAAGATGACTAGTTATATAACTATTAAACCCTTGCTATAACAGATACTGAAATATCTGCCAGGCTTTGAAATTGGGTTTTCTTATCATTTCTCATTTTCTATGAATGAATTTTGTAAAGGTGGTTTATAAGCTCTTTATGCTTGAATAACATATAAATAGATCCGCGGCAGATGATGTATATTGATCCCAATATGAACCAGAAGTAAGTCTTCTCTAATTTCTACTCTAGCATTGCATACGATCCAAATAACGCAATGCAGCCACAAATGGGTATTCCTTCCAACAACCAGCCAGGAATGGAGCCCGTTATGGTGGGTAAGTAAATCCTCAACTCACCCATAGGAAACCCAATCGCGCCAGTCCAACCCCCAGAGAACAAACTTGACTAACTCCCCTAATAATTTCTCACAGTTACAATCCTCACCCACAATCTCGGGGTTTTGGGGTTTTGGGGTTTTGGGGTTTTGGGG